TTTGTGCAGTATTTTCTGATTGACAAATACCAGCCTATTACATATAATCTCTTCACCTGCAAGTGAAAGAGCTAAAGAGGTTACACAACCAGGTTACAAAGAGCAATTTGATGTGCCCATCTTTCCTAACTTTTGCTTTTGGTCTGATATGAACAGAGGCTAGAAAGGTGGGCCCGGGTGAACCTGATGAGGTTCAACACGGCAAAGTGCAAAGTTTTGCACTTGGGTCAGAGGAATCCCAGGCATCCGTACAGGCTGGAAGGAGAGGTCCTTGAAAAGCAGCCCTGTGGAGAAGGACCTGGGGGTCCTGATAGATGAAAAACTTAACATGAGCCAGCAGTGTGCTCCTGTGGCTCGGAGAGCAAATGGTATCCTGGGGTCCATCAAAAGAGGGATGGCCAGCAGGGACAGGGAGGTGATTGTCCCCCTCTACTTGCTCTTCTGAGGCCCCATCTGGAATACTGTGTCCAGGTGTGGAGCTCGCAGTACAAAAAAGACAGGGTCTTTTTTGAGAGAGGGTCCAGAGGAGGGCCATGAAGATGATCATGGGACTGGAGTACCTCCCCTATGAGGACAGGCCGAGGGAGCTGGGCTTCTTCAGCCTGGAGAAAAGAAGGCTGCGGGGTGACCTCACTGCAGCCTTTCAATACCTAAAGGGAGCCTACAGAGGGGAGGGGAATCAACTCTTTGAAAGGGTTGATATGTGTAGGACGAGGGGAAATGGTTTTAAGTTGAGGGAGGGGAGATTTAGGTCAGACATCAGGGGGAAATTCTTTACCCAGAGAGTGGTGAGGTAGTGGAACACCAGTACACTCTGGCTGCCCAGAGAGGTTGTGGATGCCCCGTCCTTGCAGGTGTTCAAGGCCAGGTTGGATGGGTCCCCCCAGGGCCTGGGTTAGCATTAAACATGGAGGTTGGTGGCCCTGCATGTGGCAGGGGGGTTGGAGATTCATGATCCTTGAGATCCCTTCCAACCCTGGCCATTCTGTGATTCTATGAACACTGTCTTTGCTGTCAAAACAAAAAATCCTTTGTCACCATGGCTGCAGCCCCACTGTTTCTTCCTCCTGCATGGGCTACTTTGGGGAAGGATCTCCACACACTGACCCACCTTGCCTCTCCAGATGGCACATCTTGTGGTAGAGACGAGTCCTCTGCACATGGAACCCCTTCCTGGTCCTGAAGTAGTACAGGTAGTACACTGCCAGCATTTAACAGTGAGCACAGAAAACCTTGGACCACTTGAGTATTTTTGCTGAATTCAGAAAAAAACCCACCTATTCTAAGGAAGTTTTTAGGATGGTCTGAAAGATAAATAATCACCCCTGACAGATCGCATCTTCAGGAAGGTCGGTGAAATAATATGACAAGAGTGGTGATTAACTCTCACCACAAAGGGAAATGTTGAGCTGATGTAGGTGGCACACAAAATCCCCCACTCCCTTTATGAGTCAGGTAAGCTGCCAGGAGGTGAAGGTGGGATCCGTGGGATGGAGCTCTGTTTGCCCCAGCCACTCAGCAGTATTCTTTTTGAAAGACAAAAAAATAAATAGTTCAATTATTAAATCAGATTTTTCAAAATTAAGTTTGATTTAAATAGCAAAATCTAACACTTGCCCTCAATCTCCAACGATGCTGTCTGCAGTGATAGGCAAGGAGAAATATTACTAAACAACTCCACCCCCTGAGGTTAAAATAGCATTTCTGGGTAATGCATCTATTCTTCTGCCTCCCACCCACACCTGTGATCCTGCAGTCACATTGCTTCTCTCTCTCTGGCTTCAGAAAAAGAAGCAGGCAAGCCAGGATCCCAGCCCCACACAGAACTTGGCCCTAAAGAAGAAAAAACATTTCTCTCACAATGGCTGCAGAGCGGTTTAACAAATGCATAAAACAAGGCAACTGGGGGAGGGAAAGGAAAAGCATTTTTTGGTCCTATTTTGGATCAGACCAGGATTCAAAAGATAATTTAAATCATCAAACATCCCGAGTTGGAAGGGACCCATGAGTATAACTGAATCCAACCCTTGGCTCCACAAAGGACCACCCCCAAAATCAGATGGTACGTCTGAGAATGTTATCCAAACGCACCTTGAACTCCAGCAGCTCGGAGCCGCCCACCGCCCCGTCAGTCAGCAACCTTTCCCGAGCCCCTTTTCCCGCCCCTCCCCTGACGCAGCTCCATGCCGTTCCCTCGGGCCCTGCCGCTGTCACACAGCAGAGCTCAGCGCTGCCCCTCCGCTCCCTGTGAGGAGCTGCAGCCATCAGGCCTCCCCTCAGCTCCTCTGCTCTGTGCTGAGCAATAGATAGCTGTGTCCCTTATTTAAAATTATAAACTTTTCATTACCAAAATGAAACTCAGAAATGTGAAGTAAATACCATCAGTTACTTAGGCTCCAGTGAAGGCTCAACAAGCTACTTTCCCAGTTTCCCTCCTGAATTTAGGAACGTTTCCCACACACTTAATTCTTCAGTCTACCTGACAGTGTGTCTCTGAGCAAGGGCACAGAGCAGTACCTGCGGGTGCTGGGAAAGAGAGGTGACAGGATCAGACCTTCAGCACGAGTTAGTTCTTTGTTTCAGCTGGAGAATGGAAGATCTGAAGTGGAGTCTGCATAAATGTATGGATGGGTGCGTCTATACACATGGAAATGTCAGCCAGGAGAAAGGACACAGTGGGACAATGAGCAGTGTGGGAAAAAAGTGCTAAGGGGAAGGTTGAGTACAGCCCCTGCAACATCTTTCTTCCTAAACAGGAAAGATACGGATTTGATGATTGGACTACTCTTCAGTGGACTGGTTGTGAGATTGTACCCAGAGATGGTGGTCAGTGGCTCAGCGTCCGCACAGAGATCACTGATAGGTGGTGCACCCCAAGGGTCAGCACTGGGACTGGTGCTCTGTAACATCTTCATCAACGTCACTGAGTTGAGTAACCCTCAGCACGTTTGCTGGCGACACCAAGCTGTGGGGTGTGGTCAACACACCTGAGGAACGTCATCCAGAGACCTAGACAGGCTCGAGCAACGGGCCCAAGTGAACCTCATGAGGTTCAACAAAGCCAAGTGTGAGGTTCATGGCAACCCCTGCTATCAGCACAAGCCGAGTGATGTAAGAATAGAGCACAGCTGGCCACGAGCCAGCAATGTGCCCTCACAGCCCAGAAAGCCAACCATACCCTGAGCTGCATCAAAAGCAGCACGGCCAGCAGGGCAAGGGAGGTGATCCTGCCCCTCTGCTCTGCTCTGTGAGACCTCACCTGGAGTACCGTGTCCAGATGTGGAGTCCTCAGTGCAGGAGAGACATGGACCTGCTGGAGTGCATCCAGAGGAGGGCCACAAAAATGATCCAAGGGATGGAACACCTCTCCTATGAGGACAGGCTGAGAGCTGGGGCTGTTCAGCCTGGAGAAGAGAAGGCTCCAGGGAGATCTGAGAGTGGCCTTTCAGTGTCTTAAGAACAGCTAAATGAAAGAAGGGGACAGACTCTTTAACAGGGTCTGCTATGATAGAACAAGGGGAAATTGTTTCAAACTAAAAGAGTGAAGGTTTATACTGGATATGAGGAAAAAGTTTTTACAATAAAGGTAGTGACGCACTGGAACAGGTTACCCAGAGATGTGGTGAAAGCCCAGTCCCTGGAGACACTCAAGGTCAGGCTGGATGGGACCCTGAGCACCTAACTGAGCTGTAGGTGTCCCTGTGCACTGCAGGGGATTGGACCAGATGACCTGTAAGGGTTCCTTCCAACTCAAATGATTCAATGATTCAATAGAGATTTCAGAAAGGAGAGAGCAAGACAGACTATAAAAATCAAGCCAGGAGAAGAAGTAAAAAAGATGGGAGAAAGAGAGAACATATGAAATGGCACAAAACTGCTTTTCTCCTCTCAAGCCTTTTCTCTCAGAGAGAAGGGGGCAGGCAGGTAAAGTAACCAGCATAATGTCAGGTAAGAGGGACACAGAGGGCTGCAAGAAGAAAGAAAGACCTGGCACAGCAGAGAGGGAAAATAAGAAACTGTGAGGAGCACAGCCCTGGAAGTGAAGGAATAAAACCAAGCAGAATAATAGGGAAGGCCCTGGAGATGAAAAGTGACACCGTCCTGCAAGGCTGCTGCTTTCATCTGAGACAGAAATCCAGGAGGTCACCGAAATTGCTGCTTGGATCTCACATTTGAAACTTTAAGATAGGTGTTTTTTTCACCACAACTTATCCTCCTTTCCAGTGCTGATGACATTGATTACCACGCCCCCCACTTAACACCTCCGTGCCAAGGAACAAAGCTCTGAGACTATCATGCCTGCAGCAGACTGCTTCCTTTGCATCTGGAGGCTTCTGCAGAAATACCTCCGTAGACAAATCCAAATTGCTGCAGCTCCCAAATTGCCATGAAAGAGTTGAGTATCGTTAGCGGGATGAGGAAGGAAATAGGAAGGAAAGAGAGGCACACGCTCAGGGGAAGGCTCGTTTTGTTTTCATAATTAGCAAATCATACAGTACGGAGGGAAAAATTGCTGCTGGGACCTGAGCTGTCAGTCCTTCACACATCAAATAATAGGAACCAAGAGGAGGGTGTGGGAATTGCATTCAGATGATCAAATTCCTCCTGTTATTAGTGTGCGTTCAGTGTAATAAAACCTCATCAGGGAAAGTACACACTGTAACAGAAATCCTATGGAGGTTATAGAGCAAAACCCCAGGAAGACCAAACAGTGTTCCCAGGCAGCCTGAGACCCAATGCAGTGCTGGCGGCACCAGGAGCAGCACATGGAGATGAATGAAGCCCTGTTTGTATATGTGCCATGCAACTGCATGCTCCTGGCTCTCATTTTCTGTGATCTGACTCAGCCTCCGCACAGATCCACTCCCCCAGGTTTTGATTCATAAATCCTTCATCTCAGGGAAAGTTACAAAGACATGACACAAGCAAAGGGCACGCGATGACGTGAAATGGGAGAACGGCAGCGTGGAATGCGCTCCGCTGCGGCCCCGTGCACTGACCTGCTGCCATAAAGACAGCCCCGGGCCGTGCCCAGGGCAGGGACCTCGCCGGGTACACCGCCAGGCCGCACACGGGGCTGCTCCGGAGCTGCATGGTGACCACTGGGCTATGCGCTCTGCGTCCCCCGGGCCAGCGGATGGGACACGTGCGGGACGGAAAGTAAGAGGCTTTCTCCCTTTAAGCAACGAAAGAGATCGGCGTTAACAGCAGCAGTGCAGATACAACAGATGATGCATGAGCAATGGTGTATGGCGCTCTATGCTTACTAAACAATTAACGAGCACCCACAGCGTCGGTGCAGCGATGCACCCACGCAGGACTGACCCTTCCCCGCAGCCTGCTCTGCTGGGTACGAGCTCAAGACAGCGGGCCCAGCCGCGGGTGCCGCGGGGCCACTGCAGCGGGACAGGGCTGAGGGCTAAGTCCCGCGCCCGGCGTGGGCGCGGCTCCGGCCCCGCGAGCGGCTCCGGGACAGGGCTGGCAGCGGCGCGGCACCAGGTGCCGCAGGGCTCCGGGTGCGGCACGGCGCATCTCTGCCAGCGGCCGCCGCTATCACACGCGTTCCGGCACAGGCTGCATAACAAAGAGCATTCTCAGCCCCGTCCCCGCGGCCGGGCACGGAGGTCCTTGCCTGCTAGGCGTCCGGGCTCCTCCGCGGGCGGGCTCCGGGCGCGCTGCAGCTCGCCGGGGC